CCCAGGAGTTTGAGGTTGCAATGAGCTATAATGATGCCACTGCACTCTACCCAGGGGGACAGCTTGAGGCTCTGTCTCAAAAAAAAAAAAAAAAGCTTTTTGTTTAAATTTAAAAAACATTAGGAATTGGAATGAGGGATCAGGCATCTGCTTTCATGATGCTGACATGTTAGTGGTATGTATAGCAAGGTTATGAGTTTAGATTTTAAATAATACAAAAGATGTGAAGAAGTCCAAAGCTATATTCTCCAAGTCTGCTCTACTTCCTGAACACAATTACCTAAAATCCTCACTGTCAAGCAGATTGCTGGGCCTGAATTTGGGCTTATTACATGGTTTTTGGAGCCAAAAATCTAAGAATCAAAACTGAAGATGATGGTTAAGGATTGAGTTTACAATGAAGGATTAGAGATAAAACTAGATTTATAAATTAGCATAAACTCTGGTTTAGATTAACTTAGAATGTGAATAATATTCATATCTAGAGAATTGCCTCTTTAAAGTCTGATATCATCTCTCTCTCCCAGATCTCAGGAGAGAATCAAATTTTCAGCAGGAAATGTATCCTAATGACAGAAAAGAAAAAGGAGGAAAGGAACCTCTAGTGTAGATAATCTAGAAGAACCAGATTTGGTTTCTAGAAGGAGCCAAATAGAATTATCATCTTGTACTCTAGGCACTGTGGCCATTTCTAGGAGTCCACGTAGAGACTGTGAGAAACCAGGATGTTTTCTAGGTTCCATCTCTTCTTGTAATACCACCTAAATTTTCAGTGTTGAATTCAAATCTCCTTTTGAGGAGTGAAGGTCTCTTTTTAAATATGCTTGGTTCCCATAGGCCAGGACCATTTGAAGGCAAACTATAGGGGCTCAAATTGGGAGAAAATTTGAAAATATAAAATTAGAGCCATGGGAACATAATAAGTAGCTTCATATATAGCATAAAACTTACTGGTTTATTTTGAAAATGTTGCCCATAGATTTACTACTACAGTTATTTTGAATAGTTTTGAAATAGTTGCCGTTTAGAAAATACACATGCCCTATAAATTTTGTGATGCAATGTTATGGCTATACATACATAAATTTAATTTTTTTATTTTAGGAGGTTTTACTTCTTATCTGTTTACTTATACACACTTATCTATTATAGCTAGATGGTTATTTCCCCAAAATTCTTATAAATGTAAATTTTTCTTGGATATTTAATCTTCTGGGATTGTAAGATTTGAGTTGTAATTTTCATATTTGTCTTGAGAGATTTATACGTTATTTTAAACAGGACATGTGCTGTGTGTTTTTAAAGAGGATGGTGCAGTGCATCTCTTAGAGAAATATAATGAAGATGAAAACCCCTCTCACTTTCACAATGTGTACTATCCTATTGGTCTGAGTTACTTGTTTGCTGTCAAATGACATTGTTGCTTAATGAGGTGGTGGTTATTTGACCAAATTTATTAACTCTGAATAATAATCTAGAATTATTATTTTTTTTTTTTTAAAGACAGCATCTCACTTTGTCGCCCTCAGTAGAGTGTTGTGGTGTCACAGCTCACAGCAACCTCCAGCTCTCAGTCTTAGGCGATTCTCTTGCCTCAGCCTCCCGAGTAGCTGGAAATACAGGCACCCACCACAACACCCAGCTATTTTTTGTTGTTGTTGAAATTTGGCAGGGGCCAAGTTTGAACCTGCCACCCTTGGTATATGGGGCCAGCGCCCTACTCACTGAGTCACAGGCGCTGCCCTTGAATTATTTTTCATGTAGAAAAAAATGAGTAGAGGAGGCAGATCCTAAGCAGACCCTAAGTTAGGAAACAAGGGGAAGATATTGAGGGGGAAAAAACCAGGAAGCATAGAAAGGAAGAAAACTCTATAGGTGCCTGGATAACAATCCAAAAGTGCTAAATAAAGGAAAGGGGTCTCAGCAAGAGGTATATTCCTGAAAATTGTCCAAAGCAAGGGCACATATACGCACAGGTAATATTTGCTATTTTAATCATAATAGGAATCCTTTCCTAAGCTCAAATTCCAGAGTTCCCAGTCTATGTGTACTTCTCACCAACTTCTACAAGTTTGAAGGTGCACTGGTTCCCTCATGTTAGTTCTGGCTGAATATTCCCTGGTCCTCCGGTTCCCAGTGTCAAGAATGAATACTGGTGCCCAGTCAAGCCCACAACAAAAGATCACAGATTGAAAGCAATAACACGGCTCGGCTCCCATAGCACAGTGGTTAAGGGCCAGCCACATACACCGAATGTGGTGGGTTTGAACAGGTGGGACGGGCCAGCAAACCAACAATGACAACTGCAACAACAACAAAAAAAAATAGCCGGGCGTTGTGGCAGGCACCTGTAGTCCCAACTACTTGAGAGGCTGAGGCAAGAGAATCTCTTGAGCCCTAGAGTTTGAGGTAGCTGTGAGCTGTGACATGACGGCACTCTACCAAGGATGACACAATGAGACTCTGTCTCAAGAAACAAAAAAAAGCAATAACATATAGGAAAGTAAAATATAGCAAGAATACACCTCAAAGAGTGGGACTGGTCTCCCTCTGAAAGTGAAGAAGAGACCTTTTGTATGTTCACAAGGCTGTCCCACCTTTGTCCTGGCATTATTAGCTGTCATTTCGGCCTGTGGGGTGATTGACAGGTTGGGGTTACAGAACAAACTCCTTAAGCATCTTACAGAAGGAGGGAGGTGGAAATTTGCAATGTTAATTGTATGACAATAGCCCCAGGTCAGATTAAGTTTACTCAGAGCTCCTCACTGTGTGTTCAGCCACAATTTTGCTTCCTTAGCGTAATTTAGTTCCACCAACTAGGGAGCTCATCTGAGTTGTTCCGTGTCCAGAGTTTGTATTTGGGTTTTATTATATGGATGCAATGGATTTCATCACTAACCATGCGGTTGAACTGTCTCCAGCCCCTCTCCTTCCTGGAGGTTGAACTGATACCACGGGGCTCAAAGTCACACCCCTCTAATCACATCGTTGGTCTTTCTGGCGCCCCCAAGTCAAGTCAGCATAAATTCAGGTGAGGTTCCAGGGTCAACCATGAGTCACAGACACTCCTATCACCCAAGAAACTGCAGGGATTTAGAGGGTCCCTCCGGGAACCAGCAAGGAAGACCAGCCACATTCGTCCTTCTGCAACACACCCACTGTGGCCGGGAGCTCTGTCAAAACTCAGGTAATCAGGGCAGGTAACAGGTGTGGATACAGGTATGTTTCAGGACGGCACTAGGACAGGGAAGACTGAGGAGAGGAAGGAAGGAGGAATGAAAGGAAGAGGCGCGCATAGGCGCCTGGGCAGCCAAGTATCTGAGGAACAGGGAAGATGAGCGGCCCTGTGCCTAGGAGTATCTAGTGGCGGGTGAGCCAGAGGGCCAAGAGGAGCCAAAAAAAAAAAAAAAGTGTGTGGGGGTGGGGAAGCAGCGTGACACACGAGGTCAGTGGGTGAGCACCCAGTAACCGCAGACAGCCCCGCACCCCAGCCAGAAGCGCGGCAAGGGACCCCAGCCTGTGCGGGGGACAGCCCCGGAGAGGCGCGCTCAGCAGCTGGCGCAGGACGCACGGACTCGGCTCCGCAGTTGTGGAGGCGGCTGTTAAACTGAGAGGAGAAACTGCCCGAAGGGAGCAGCTGGAAACAGATGTGGTTTCTGAGCGACAA